ATAAGGCTTCTCCTTCCTCCTGGAAACTGCCGTTCTTGCTCTGCTTCTGAGCCCAAACTGTTAGAGGCCTCTCTTCGAGTCAAGAGACCGAGCTCCTGCAGAGGCGTATTTGACGACCTCCGTGTGTCTCTGTCAGCGAGTGTCTCTGAGTGGCCTGCCAAGGACTGAAACCCATCAACTCTCTGGTAAATAAACTTGTGTGATTTCTTGCATTGTTTGTTCCCTGTGTCTTCTCTCTTCTTAGTTTTTGGTTAAGCTTGGCCATATTAATTAATAGTAAGTACCCTTTGACGTCTGTATTGGTATATCCAAATGAGGCGCTTGGGTCACCTGTGCATAAGTTCCCAACGCGGCCGCCCCGGGTCACGTGGGCCGGGAGGGCGGGCCGGGAAGGGCCTTAAAGGAGCCACCGCGCGCTTTCTGGCCATTTTCCCCGGAGAGCGGCCTCGGCCATGGCAGCGGGCGGAGGCCTCTGGTTCCTGCTCTCGGCTCCGGGGCGCTGGCGCGGGGGAAATGAAGACATGAACTACATACATAAGTCCAACAGCTGTCTCTCCTACTCTGCCCAAGACTGAAACGTGCAGGGGACCTGTCTGTCCACGCATGAAGCCCCAGCCCAGAATGTGACACCGAACAGCCCGGGGCACATGCACAGAGCTGTGGCCCGATTAGCAGCCCTGATCTAGAGGACGGGAAAGCCCACCAGAGGCTGAGCTCTGCACCCCACAGCCCTCCCCGGGGCCTCACCTGTCCATTGCCCGGCTTGGACATGGTTTTCCTGGCTCGGTGGACCTTGGGCTGCCCCTCTGGGCTGGTTGTAGCTGGAGGGGGTTCAGGCCCTGCCGCTGCCCCCTGGGCCCCGGGCATACTCAGCAGCCTCATCGCCAAACTCTGGACGGAGGGGGGTGACTTCCCCGCCCCCGTCATTGACATCTTGGCGCGGCTGGGACAGGCACCCCCTTTGCTGGGGGAAGAGGGGAATGACTTTGTGGCATGGCCTGGAAAACAGCAGGCAGATAGCAAGGCAAGATCAGAGGAGGCAGAGCCAGAGGGCGCCCCACCTCTCCCCAGCCCCCACCGCCGCTCACCCAGCAGGACGCGCCCCCCTGGGAGGTCCCCATCGCCCTCAAGATTCTCAGGTTCATCCCCAATGAGTGGGGTGGCTCCTACAGGGGTGTCGGCGCCCTCGTCGCCAACAGTCACGGTGACAGAGGCTGGGGATGAGGGGCCAGCAGGCTCCAGGGAGTCGGGGTTGGCCTTGGGCAGGGTCTCCTCACTACGAGGGGTGTCCCCAAAAGAGCCGTGAACTGTAAGGGAAGAGAGAAAGTTCAGGGCTCCGGGCCAGGGGCCTGCGCTTGGGGAGGTAATGGTCCAGCGGGGCCGTTTCTGCTTCACTCACCTCGCTCGACGGCTCCTCGGGGCTCCTTGTCCAGCACCAGAGCCCCCATCTCAGCGGGGCCCTCCCCCTGAGAGGCGACACCAGGGAGAGGAGGGCTGGTCAGCCCGGTAGGAAGTTGGGGGGCCCAAGACGCCTGGGCCCTGGGAAGAGAGAGCAGGCTCCGGGGCCTACCTCTCCCTCTGTGGGCGCCCCCCCTCCCGCGGCC